GTCACTCTTATGTCTTCAGTCTTCAGCTTTAGTTCTACAAACAGAGAGAGAACAATGTCAACTTTCAGTTTTCTATGAAAAACATCATATGTAAAAGTTCTTGTTCTAAAGAAGAAATGTAAATGTAAATAATAATATGGATAAAGTGCTTGTGACTTTACAGAAATGATGTGAGAAACACAGCTCATAGATTTAACTATGATTTTTGGTCATGCATTTGGTTCCTGGAAAATCTTTCAAGCATATTTTTGTCCTCTCTTCAACAAATAAACCAGTTTGTCCGCATTACAGGGGCGGAGCCGCAACAGACTAGAAAAGTCAGTCTATGAAAGCACTAGACTTTAACCAGGAGTTTATAAGCAGATTGAGACAGGCCAGAATTGTTTTACATTACTTACATGTGAGAGTGAGGAAAACGAAACATAATGAATGTGAAAATACAGAGTCAACGAGGAAGAAAGTTTACTGTGTTTATGTAGAATAGCATCAAGCGTAGCTCATCCAATCGAATCGTCAAAACGATTCATTTGAGTCTTTTGTTCTGAACTCTAGTTAAGCAAAACCAAAGAATGAAGCATGTGCCCTAGAGCATCTTTACGAATGTAAGTGTGCACCACACCTGAAGATCAGCCGGTTTTGCGATACACAACTATCACGTCCTTAGAGGTATTAAAAAAAACACAACCAGCTCTTAACACAAACTTTGACTGCTCATAAATTAACTAATGACACCAAACTGCATCAAAAAGCCCAAAAATCACCATAAAAGAAGTCGATATGCTTAAGATCTCCTTCTGTGTCCCACAAAACCTTCAGAATCAGTAAATGAGGAATTATGACAGGCTTGTTTTTATTAAGTGACTCTAAATTCATAGCAAAAGCACAAAGTTACCTCATCATCGGATGAAGAGGATGATCTGTGTCCGCGTCCGCGTCCGTGACCGTGTCCGTGTCCGTGCCCCTTTTTGTGCTCTTTATTCTTCTTCTTTTCCTTGTCTTTGCACTTGTCCTTATCTTTGTCTTTGCACTCTTTGTCTTTTTTCTTTTCTTTGCAATCACTCTGAAAAAGCGTTCATAAAACAGTATCATGCATCACATTCTATACACCGGCATGTAGTAACATCTCTCATTTTACATCATTATTAACCCTCGAGGGCTAAACGACATTTTTGAGCTCTTGAAAGGAGTCTTCCGGGTCGAACTCAACACAAAACACAATTCGCAACCCATTTTACTTCTGTAATCTGATTAGTGGCTTCAAATGAAAAGTGTTTGGAGTGGAAGGGGTTAAAAAAAAGTAAAGATAAAAGCAAACATTTTGATTTAATAGGAAATTCAGATTATTAACCCTGAGATGACATTATTTTAGTATCACTGAGATACTATTATAGTTTTTATTAATATATTTATTTTGTTAGTTTGTTTGTAGAGTTGTAGATTTGAAAGTTTTAGTCATTTTGATGTGTTTTTGTCATTAATTTTCTTTATTTCAGTTTTAGTTTCAGTTTTTAGTTAACAATAATAACCCTGTTCTATATGCAAATCTGATACTTTTCATCCCTGTCAATAGTTTTCATCTTTATGTGTATAGAATTGACAAGTCTTTAGTATAAAAATCCATATAACATTGAACTGAAAATTATGACATTATGATATGCCACACATGCTGATGTTTCTAAAACAAGTCATTTTGTCATGTAGACTTTCATTGACTATCATGATTATTAAATATTCTTACCTTCGCCTTGTCATTATCTTTGTCCTTGTCTTTGTCCTTGCACTCTTTATCTTTATCTTCTTGACCTTTATCTTTATCTTCATCCTTTTTTCCAGACTCCACCTCGTTGCCCTCCTGCTTCTTCACCTCATCACCCTCAGCAGCTGCTCAAAAACAGGAATACAACTGTTAGTTTCTCTTAGAAATCAACCAATGTGTGTTTTCTGATTGATAAGTTCTGTATCTGTTTACCTGAGCACAGATCGATGTCCATGATGAAGCAGTGAATGTGATCTGATCGAGGTGACAGCAGTATTTATCATCAGCATCAGTGTTTCTGGAGGTGGATCCACCCAGAGCGTCAAAACAGCTGATGTTTGTGGCAGGACTTGGCTCATTAATATTCATTTACGTGACGTTACGTTCGTCCAAGTTGATTGGCTGAAAGACAGACAACGCTAAGTATGCATTAGAATTAGCGAAGTCTTGGCTCATGAATATTAATTAATCAACCAGTAGTCCCAAGTGTGAGTGTAAACACATTTAACAACTTAAAGTTATCTTACTAAAAATAGAACAACATCTCCTTAGGTCCCTCCTTATTGGAATAAATAAGCTGTTGCGAGATCTGAACTGACATTAATAATCTTGCAAAAAGTTTACATCTTACAATTCTGACTTTACATCTTGCAATTGTTCCCCGCCCCCCCGACTTTTTTCTCTGAATTCTTACCTTTTTTTTTTTCTTTCTCGCAATTCTGAGTGTAGGCCTATATAATTCGGACTTTTTTAAAACTTTTTTTTTTTGCAAAAAAAAAAAAAAAATTTCATATGAATGATCAATATATTAACTGTATATTGAAAATATACAGAATAATATATTGTGTTAATATGTAACAATATATTGAATAATACATAAGGAACTGCCGCTTTCATATATTGAAAAATAAGTGACAATTGTATATCATAATATATGTAATTTTATATTCAGTAACATGTACATGTGACAGGCTCTATACTCTTCAGCACAATGGTAACCACAAAAACACAGACATACAAACCAGAAACCCTTTTAAATTCCAAAATAATACAACATTAAACACTGACAGATCTCCCCCTATATTCATATTGAGCCAAATTCATTAAATAACACTTAACTTTAAGATTTACTCTCTTTTAACAGTCAGAAGCAAAGCATGCTGGGAGCTAGAAATGTGCTGTAACTCATTCTGTGGTTATATGTACATACATACATTCACATTTATATGGGACCATGTGCAATATATGTGCACAATAAAGGATAATAAAACCTTATGAATATTACATGTAATGCTATTTTTGTCTTCATTTCTAAATTTTTTATAAGTATCAATAAATAGCCATATATTGCAGTATATTGACAAATATCAGCACTATAGTTTCCCATACATGGAAATGCATTATGTAATATACCACATTATATTTTGCAGTTCATTCCCATATATTTTTGTTTCTTAAGGGAAGTCAGAGCTGTGAGATAAAAAGTCGCAATTAAAATATTAAAATGCGCGCACACACACACACACACACACACACACAC